TTTTTTTATTTATATACTACTACAACACCCGTGTGTTACACGGGTACTTGTTAAAAAGATTTATATTTAAATTTTAAAATTAATGAGAAAACTATATTAAATTTAGTTTATTTTTTTACCAAAAAAATATATTATTATATATTTTAAAATATATGTGTTACTTATGACTTACATGTGTTATATTATGTAATAGTTTTTATAACTTATATCATATAACTACTTGAAATATAAATATATTAGTCGATAAATAATTTTATTTTTCTAATTAATATTAAAAATAATTTTATTATTGTTAAAGATAAATATAAATTATTTTTTTATACATACAATATGGATGTTAAAATCGAAACTCATCAAAAGAAGATTAATTTGATATATTACATATGTAAAACTGATAAAAAATACAAAAGTTATTAACTTTTAAAATATATATACAATTCAATAGTTATAATAAGAGATGATATTAAAATACAATTAATACATTTAACATAACCATAAATAATCAACATATTTATGATAATCAGAACCTAATTATTTTTGGATTGGAATTAAGTTAAAATTTACCCAAACCTAATAACGAAACATGTAATTTTGCCACATAAAATTTCGAAATATCAGAAGCAGCCACGTAGGCTCAGCGCGTTCTGAATTAATAGGGGATATCAGGAAACTTCGTATGAAACCAAAAAATCGAGCTGGATCAACAATTTGAATACAAAATTTCAACCTGAAAACACACTAAGATTTTAGAACCCCAATGGACTACTTTAGTTTTATGGTATTCCTTCATATACCTAACAGTAAAAAAAAAAAAATTATGTAAAGAGAACCCTCTTTACATAATTTTTTTTTTTTTACAACAATGCCAATGTGTATATATGTACACACATACACATATATAACTCAGTGTATTAGATACACATTTCGCTTAACCAAAATCACAAATCATTCTTGTGTCATCCAGTTCTCCATTTTATATACCCATTTATACAAACAGTTATCTTCGAATCAGAAGAAAAAATGAACAAACAAAACTTAAGCTGCTGTTTGTTACACCAAGACTAAGTATTTTCACGTATTCTTCTCAAGAACCGAGAGGGCCGGAGTCAGATAATTGTTTGCTTTGTCAGGTAAGTGAGCCACCTACAGAAACAAGGTTAAACGCAGTTTCAAACGGATCAAATGCTGCACAAATGTTAATGAACACATACAAATGTAACCAGAGAGAGAGAGAGAGATTATACCAGCTCGTACAGCTCCTTTCCAGGTTCGGCTACATACTCGTAACACACCTGATGTCATGAACTTAAATTAGGTTCAACTCAGAAATATAATAATAAGATACATAATGAATTTATTTATTACTCACGTCAAAACTCTTATTTCTGGCTGTTGCATCATGCAATGCTTTGACGCATATATCAGCAACATCTGCACAGCTTATTCCCTACATATACGAACGTAGATACTGAGATAAATGTTACGAAATTCCTTCAGTTAAATCCGATAATGTAGCCTGACTTTTACCTGAGTTATTCGGTTTCCTTGGTCGAAAACCAGAGCTCGCTGGCCACCTGGTTCTTCCTGCAAAAAAAAAGATCTTCCATGATACAAGTACACCTCATATGCTGTAAAACTTTGTTTGAAATTTTTTTCATTGTTATTGTTGTTAACAGTACTATGGCTCGGGGATTGTTTAAAAAACTTCTACCACTAGAAGATGTAATCTATTTTTAGCAAAAGCAAGATGTGCTGGAGAACACCAAATTGATACGTACAAGTAGAGAAGCTAATATTGACTAGACAGTGTTTGTTTGGTAAGTCGCGAAGAGCTTCATTAGTCTGCAAAAAAATTCAAACTGGAAACCAAATTTGGAAATATAGGGCATCACTATCCACTATTCGTTCTCAAGATATTTAGAATAAGGAGAAGTTGAATTTTGAAAATAATAAAAACGACTGCTCCCTTTTTCTTTATATTTGTTATTACTTTGTTTTGATGAAGGCAAACACTGCCATTACTAACAGTCCGTTGAGATAAACATACCACCAGGGGGCCAGGACGAATAATTGTGTACCCAAGGCCTGATTTTTTCAGTGATTCTTCTCCAGCCTATAAAATGTTGACTCGTTTAGAGAGAAGACTTGGAAAATTCAATGAAAAGCAAGAAAAGGGAATGGAACCTTCTTAGCCTTCAAAACCTGCTCCCTTCTGGTAGGCTCTATTCCTGCTCCCGTACATGAAACTAAGATGAAATCCGTTTCTTGCCCAGTCTGCAAAGATCAGAGTTCACTCAAAATCAAAAACAGAAGATGAGAATCCTATGAAAATTGTTAGCTACAAGTTTGCGACGTTTGTGCTACTTACGCATGTATGGAGCAAAACTTGAAAACACAAAATAGTTAGACTATCAGAATCAAGCTTACAGGCAAAGCTTTGATATATTCCAAAATTAATTGGAAGCTTCTCAAGTCTTGTTTTCCGCCAACAGGTCCCTCGGTTGGTCTCTGCAATAAAACAAATGTCACACTTGAACAAGTCCTGTTGAACGAGGCATTATGAACAGAGTCTACAGTTTATCCATGTTATCACTAGAACTAATATTTATCATCAATTGATTCTGCAGTATTATTATAATGAAAGAAAAGGAGTTATGAGGATTTGAAACAAACCAGTCGCCTGGGCTCAAATCGGATAGTCAAGGTATGTACAAGGAATGGATCTAGTGGAGGATCTTCTGGCTTCACAGGTCTAAAAGCTGAAAATGGCACCCTTACCTGAGCAGAGGAAAACATATAAACCAAAAGAATAAAAGAAAAAATAAATTTAACCTAACGTAATAATCAAGGAGTGACAGAAGAGTTAAGCTGTTCAACAAAGATGAACCGTATGTTTCTCTCAGCATTTCACCATTCTAACTCACCCTGCAAAACCCAGCTTTTGTGCTTATCCTGGAAAAGTACATTTTACTTTGTGAAGTGTCGGCCAATGGACCCGCTTCAAGAATTACTACATACGATCTACCATTTCCACCAACAGAGAACACTAGACCCTCGTACCTAACCATTGCAATATAAGTCTGTCAGGGTTCATAAATGTTGAGGTGTTCATTACAAAATTTTTCATTTTTGGTATACCTGTCGAGGGTATAGCCCAAAGGAAGTGAAATCTTCTTTGATAGTTCAACGTAGCCTCCTCTAGTAAAAACATATCCTAGTTGTTCAAAAATAGGAACATATCAAAAGAAGAAAAGACCATTAAAGCACAAGACGAATATATTATAACTTGAGATAATCTTTAGCTTTAGACATGGTATATAATTTTATTTATTCTTATTTATTTATTTGTAAAATTATACCTGAGAAGACTGCATCTCCACTTTCGGTGAACTCGAATGTAGCATCCATTCCTTCATCATACTTGGTGGCAGCAGCATCCTGAAAATAAGTTCCTTGACGGACCTCCCATCCATTCAGTGCATCTTCAGACTTGAACTTCGCAATCAAAAGCTTACTTTTGCTGCTTTTCCCAGCACGCAGTTGCGCAAGCTTATTGTTATAGTCCTACAATATTTTAGAAAACAATTTCAGGTCCTATGCCAGAATTCTAAATCGAAAAGTAAACCGCCAGTGTATAAATTTCGAAGTGCATGTAGGCATATAAAACCTGAAATGCTTTGGTAAGATTATAAACGCCAAGATGGTCGACTCTGTTGAGATCCCCGGTGATTGACGAGCGAGCTGTCGCGCAATAGATAATCTTATTGCAGCCCTCCATAGCTGTCTTGAGAGTTGAAGGCTCTCCAACATCTCCCATTAGAATCTCAACCGACGTTGGCAGCATGTTCACCACATCTTCATCAGCTTTACGTACTAAAGCCTGGTCACAAAGGAGTATAGGAGTAATTTTTTTTTTTTTTTTTAATGAAAAAATGAAAGATCATCGGGCTTAACCTATGCTAATTGTAAATAGAAAGTCCTGACGAACATACATTCAGATTGTGACGTCTGATCAAATCATATTAGATGGTAAGAAATTAAAATGTACCGATACAACCAAACTAAGGGGAAACATCCCAATTTTTATCCACAAAAACTAGTGAAAACATGTAATGACGAGAATAGGCAATGTGAGAAAAGTTCACATGACCACATTCCCAACCAAAACTAGCCGATTTGGAAAACAATTTAATGCGGTATTCTTGAATGAGTTTTTGACTCAAACACACCAATTCACTTGCACCACATGATCACGTCCTAGAAATTTCATGTTTCCAGACCAACATTAAAATCAAAAGTGTTAGGAAAATCATGAGTTTTACTTTTAATATACAAATCATTATATTCGAGTGTACCATTATTGCCAACCTAGTAGCCACAACACAAACCTTTCATCACTTAACACTATTTTAGCCTGGTCACTAAACACCGCAATTCTAAATACATCAATCACCCCACATTTCGGTTTTCTTCTTACGAAATGCACCATCAGAATAATATTACCGACTCAGCTAGCAAATTGCAACATAAATTACCTTGACTGTATAACCCCTGAGCATAAGCTTCCGAACCACAATCCGGCCGACTCGGCTGGTGGCTCCGACCACCAGCACGGTTGTGTTCTGCGCCCCCGGAACTGCGAACTCGCACATTGGCCCGCCCTCCCTAATGAGAAGCGCCGCCTCGTCGTCGTCCGTCCGTGTTGTCCGCGAAATTTGCCCTAACCCTGAGAACTTCCGCCACACCTCGTCGAAAATCTGCCGCGATTTCCGCCCGAGTCCCACCGGATTCACCTCATCCAGACGGCTTTTAATCGCCGTGACGGAGGAGGTCGCGGCGGG